CCCCCGGGCCCCCAAACATCGCACCCCATTCCGCGACAGCATTTTGGTATGGTGGAGCGAGACATCAGGACTGACTCTCCATTTAGCAACGGCTCCCAGTTCTTCATCACCACCGTCGTCACCTCGTGGCTGAACGGCCGCCACGTCGTCTTCGGTGAGGTCGCCGACCAGGCCTCCCTGAACATCGTCAAGGCCATCGAGGCCACCGGCTCCCAGAGCGGCACCATCCGCTACGGCAAGCGTCCCACTATCGTCAAGAGCGGTGCCCTGTAAATGTCCCCTATCAAGGGCTTGTATTAGCAATTTGTTTTTCCTTCCTCTGCTTCTCGGATCGCGAGATGGCGAGGATGGGAACGGGAAAAGTTAAAACTTAGGGGGCGGATTGTCGTGGTGGATCTTGTTGTGCCTGCACACTCTATGGATAGCTCATAGCTAACCCGGGTTAAGACGAAAACACAGTCGCTATGCAGCGCGCGATGAAAACACACTCATTCGTCTCGTGATATTTTTCTTTTTCTTTTTCTTTTGGTAGTGGTTTGTTTTGTGACGCTTTTTGATCCATTCTGCCAACGCCCTCGCAGGGTTGACGCCACGGCTTTTCTGATGACGAAGCTTTCATCCATACGGAACGTGTATTAAAGGTTTTCATGCCAGAGCGTAATTCCACCTTTCCGCCTCCTTCCGCCCTAGGAAGTGTGGATCATGTTTTTAATACAGAGCTCAGCTCAGCCCAGCCAACGCCGTTGCCATGCAAATCATACACGATACAAATACAGGTAGAATATCCCCGCACCTTCCCCGGATGCAATATCTCGCAGGTGGACAAAGAAGAAGAAGAAAAAACAAAGCAAAACAAATTCCCCGGCTCATCATGTATCATGTCCATATGTTTTTTTATATACGTCGTGACGCTTCCCCTGCTGTCCTGTCCTTAGCAGCATGACATGAGACATTTGTTCTTTTTTTTCTTTTTCTTTTCTTCTTCTTCTTTTTTTCTTCTGTTCTTTTTACTCCTCCAACCCTAACCATCGTTGGAAATATATGCAGTTGCTGGCGCTCACGGGCCCCCCCTCCTCGCAAAGCTCGAACACGGGACACCTTCCGCACGGCGCCTCGGTGAAGCCATTGGTCACCGGTTCCGGCGCGCCGCGTTCCACGACGGGAAGGGCGACGCCCTCGTCTTCGGCCGGGCGCGCCGCGGCCCACGACTCGAGGCTCTGCTTTGGGTGGCGGCGGACGCGGTAGCCCACGCGGCCGGCCACGCGGACGGCTTCGATCAGGTTGTCGAAGACGAGGACGTCGATCAACTTCTGCACGTCCTCCTCGCCTAGGATGGTCTCGGTGGTGATGCCGGATTGGGAGATGAAGCGCGCCATGTCGCGCACTGTCGGGTACTCTTTGTAGCCTGCGGGGAGGGGGAGGTAGGTGTTTTTCGGCGTCGTTGGCTTGGCGGCGTCGGCGTTGTGGTGAGGGCGGTGGTGGTGGTGGTGGTGGTGGTGGTGGTGGCTGTTGGTGTCGTGGTCTCCGCTCATGTGCTCGGCCGTCCGCTTCTTCCCCGCAGCAGCGGCGGCGGAGCCCTTGAGGATGCCCTTCTTGGGCACGGCGGTGCGGGCGGCGGAGGAGGAGGAGGAGGAGGAGGAGGAGAAGGAGGAAGAGGAGTGGCCTTTCTGGAAGTAGCTGCTCTGGCGCTTGATGTAATCAAAAATGACGCGCTGCAGGTCCTCGATGAAGGCGACGTCGAGGGCCTGGTCGGTGAACCAGGGGCCTCCGGTGGCGCGTTCGGATGGCCTCAGCGAGGCCTTGATGTACATCTTTTTGTTGGTGTGCTCGACGCTCTTGAAGGGGGCGATGAGGTTCTTGGATTGCAGCTGTTTGAGGGCCGTCTTCATCACGGCGTCGTTGATGCCGAGGCGGCCTTGGATGGTCTTGGTCCAGATGCCGTCGGCGCCGGCATCGTCGATGGCGCCATAGACCATGCGTTGTTCGTCGGTTGTGCAGAGCTTGTATCTTTAGAGGTGGAAGCACCATGTTTGTCAGCGGCTTGTCTGGGTGTGCGACGATGTGTAAAAGGTGAGGAGAGAGAGAGAGAGACGGACAAACTCACTTGTCTGCTTCAGCCCTGGGCCGCCATCGCCATGCTAGCCCACCCTGCGCACTCACGGCGATCAAGAGCTTGTCGTTGGTAAGACTCTGGACAACCTTGAGCAGCATCTGCGGATCCCGGTTCGGGATGATGCCCAAGTCGAGGAGGTCGTACTGGCTGTACAGATTGTCCTCGTCGCCATTGGACCGGCATGCGTCGTAGAGGGCCTGCTTCAAGATGTCGAACTTGCTCGGGTCCACGGCGGCGGCGGCACTGGCAGGAGTGGTCGCCGCTGGCGCCGCCGAGGACGATGACTCCGAGGCCATCTTGATGGGTCAGAGGGGGGACTCGTGTGCTTTGTTTGTTGTTGGACGTTGTTGTTGGCGTTGCGTTCGGGGATGCGGCGGGATTGAGGCGAGAATCGAGGGCTGAGGAGAATATGTCTTTTACTAGACAGACGTATGCAGGGAGGGATCTTTTGGGTGACAGAATGCGGGGGAGGGAGGAGGAGGAGGAGGAGGAGGGGCAATTGGAGCTTGCTGTGCCCTCTGGCGATGTGGAAATCGCAAAGAATGCTGCCGCTACATCTGCGTCTTGTCGGACAAGGCAGTTTGTTCGTCACCTGTGGGATTGCATTGAGTAATGGGGAGGGGTGGGTTGTCGAGAGAGTTGGGTGGGCGACGAGGAAGATGCTTTTCCGTGAGTCAAAAGTGGTGTCGGAAGGTTTGCGGGAGCTTTGATTAAAAAAAAAAAAAAAAAAAAAAAAGAGCCATTGTAAGTACAACGTACTTTGTACTTTTGTACCTTGCATCTGGCCCGTTCCATCTCCGGAGACCTGTCCCAAAAGGTACATCCCCCGTACTATGGGAGTCGGCAGGACAGCTACAATGGAAGTACGAGAACTGTCGCTTCCCTGATAAAACACACTCATGTTAAGGTACCTACGCTTCTAGATGGATTCAATGTTTGCGTTTCACGATGCCGTAGGATCAAATTGAAATATGATTCTTTGTGACGGTCTTTGGAGACCTCTGAAGACATGTTGTCGGTACCTTACTGTACAATAAATGAACTTCATCTCCGAGACCAACAGCCGTACTCCTGTGATTGATTCCTATAAAACGCCTTTGGTTTCTGCCAACTCGTTGAAATCCGCCGAAAATGTAACTTAATTTGCAAGATGCCGTCTGCGGTTGGGTTGAATCGCGTTCGAGCTGCCCTTCGCATGCATTTGTTCTAGGCAAACCCCCCAACAATAGCCATGAGAATAGCTCCGCCAACGACAGCCATGTAGGCCCTCCATCTCCTGCCCCCGGCCAAAGTACTGTAACTCTTCTCCGTCAAAAAATCCTCCGCCAGCAACTGCACGAGACCCGCGAACAGCAACAGGCCCGACGAGATGGAATTCATAAACCCCACCATCAGCAGCCCCGTCTGGCTCATCGGATCGTACATGTTATGCACCACGAGCCCGATGAGCTGCCCGAACGGCGTCGTGGCCCCGAAGGCCAACGCCATGAGCCACGGCCGGGCCGATCGTCGCGGCAGTTGAATGGCCGCAATGCGGCTCCCCAAAGCCAGGCCCTCGAACGTCTGGTGGAAGCTGACGGCGATTAGGAAGACCACGAAGGTCGGCCCCGTCGCCACCGAGATGGCCATGCCGATGAAGATGCTGTGGAAGAGGATGCCGCCTTCCAGCATCAGGCATTGTCTGAGGAGCCGGGCTTGTTCCTCCGCCGTGATGATGACGACGCGCGGGGCGGCGGCGGGCACGCTGGACGGGTGTTGCCCCTGGTGAGGATGGCGCTGGGCATGGGCATGGGCATGGGCGTGGCGGTTCTTGATGGACACTGCATCGAGCTCGTGTAATTCCAGTTCGAGGTCGGAGTCCTCGTCTCGGTCGTGGTCGTCGTCGTCGTCGGCGCCGTTTGCCATGTCGTCCGCGCCGTCTACGCCATTTGACGACTCGCTGGGTCCTCCGTCCCGCCCGTCCGGAACACGAGATGGTGCGGCGAATCTCGGCTCGCTGCTCGGCAGCGGCGACGCACCGGAAATGAGCCCCTGCGTCGCACCATCCATAGCGTCCAACTCGAAATCAGCCGGGCGAGGATGCCTGCTCCTCTGCGCCGACAAACCAGACAGCAGGCCAAGGCCGTTCGCCGACGATGCGGTGTCCTTGTATCCTGCGGCCGCCGTGTGGCTATTGTGTTCGTGTTTGTGTTCGTGTTCGCCCTCGCTTTCGCCTTCGTCCCAGAAATGGTAGTGGTGAGAGTGCGCGTGGCCGGCGCCGCGGGTGGCGAGGTACATCTCGAGGGCGACGACAGTCAGGGCGGCGATCATGGCGACGAGGCCGGCCATGGGCTTGAAGCCCTTGCTGAAGAAATAGGGGAGGCATGGGTCGGTTAAGGAGAGGAAGGCCGTGGGGAGGAGGTGGACGAAGGCGGTCGCGAGAAGGACGCCGGTGCCAAAGTGTTGGCAGTAGAAAATGATCTTCTTTTGGAGATGGCCCCCGGAGCCTCCTCGTGATAGGAGAGGGATACCGCAAGCTGTCGAGGCGTTAGCGAATACGAGTTACGACTATCGGCTGGGGTTGGAACGACCAGGAGGCGATGGGCAGATGGGCAGATGATCGTAATGGACGTCAAGGGGACAAAAGTTACGTACAGACGGTGCTCAAGGTGAGGATCAGGATAAGGGCGCCAACATGGAGGCCGGTATCGTAGGATCCGCGGCTACCGGAGCCGCATTCTGGTCGCGCGTCGTCATCGCCGCCATCCCGTTCACCCCGTCTCGCGAGCTCGGCCAGCAGGAGATTAGTCGGAATCGTGGCCCAAGAGATGTCTGGCCTGGAGTCAGTAAAAGAAAAAAGAAAAAAAAAAGAAAAAGAAAGAAAAAAAAAACCCAGTCGCCAAGCAGGTTTTCGTATCGTATGCCATTCGATACGAAAGGGGTTTGAACATGAACATACCTCCTGCGCGTGGATCCATGATGCCGAAGGTAAGGTAGTAGGTAGGTAGGTAGGTAGGCACCAACCGGACAACCGGACCCAAGGGGAGGGAGAGATCCAGGATACAACGCACAATCGTCGGTCGGTAACTACCTTAATCGCCAAGGGAACAATGGACAGAAGAGGGTCATGGTGGTCCCCTGAGGCAATACAGCAGACAAGCAGACATTGCCAGGGAGCTTTGGAATTTTTTTTTTATTTTTTTTTTTGGACAGAAGAGGGAAAACCAGCCAAAGTAGGGAGGGATGCGGCCAATTGCTTCCGTCAGATCTTTCCCTTCGCGGAAACTCTATTGACACGCGGCACCTCGGAGGGAAAGCTTACACGGGGCTGTCAGTCGACTTAGGTGGCCTCTTCAGCGGGTTCATTAGCGTGTAGCAGGGGAGTTACGAGGCTGTCTGGGGTCTCTCTCGCCTAAAGCTTGGCATCGAAGTACCTAGTGTACGTGTACTAGGCCTAAGGTAGAGCACCAACCTTACGTCAGCTAGTCTTTGACTGTCCATTGACCTTTACTAAGGGCCTGTGACGATACACCTACGAGATCCAAGCAGAGACAAGATGCACAACATAAGTCTGGCTCAAACACCAACTTTTATCATTGGATTCAGTGGTTTGGATTAATAAAGGTACTGCTCATCATGCTGTGTTAACAATGTTACATACTACTATAGCGCTTCCGGTCAGTTCATGCCGTCCGTCCGGTAACGCCACGCGCAGCCCAGATCCAACGCCGGAATGCGTCTGCGTCTCGCCTGATACTCCTCATCGTTCCCCAAAGAGTGGAGAAATATCATCGTAACACCGAACTTCTTGTGCAAATGCCTCGCGTGAGAGAGACCCCTCCTCCGGCAGTTCCGCACACTGCGGGATGAGGTCTATCTGGGCACAACCTTTGGGCACATCGGCAGCCGCGTACTTGAGCACTGAAAACTTGCGCTTCCCGTAGTATGGCACCTCCTCGTTGCATGCGATATAGGAACCAACGCCGCTCGGAGTCGTCAGGTATGGGTAAGAGCTGCCGGAGGGCCTGGTGAGTTGCACGCCGGGGGTTCCGGATCCCATATCAACGCGGACGGGAGAGATCTCGTCTTGGGGAGCCGCAAGCCTGAATCCGCTGGGGAAAGGCGGATCTCCGCCGTCCGAGATGGTGTTGGCCTTCCCCTCAAGGATGTCCGAGGTGGTGCCGTTCAGATACCAGATGCGAGCGGACTGCGCATCGAGGACCCCGAGCCCCCGGCCTGCGCCTCCGTGGGCGGCGGAAACGTAATACCGGTTGACGGACGGCTCAAAGTCGGTCTCGGGCTCGGTCACCTTGGCCACGAGCTTGAACCCCTTGGACTTGGACTTCGGTTGTTGACCCCGAGACATGGGGGAGGCGAGGACGATGGCCTGGAGGTAAGCCAATACCACGACTGCACGCATCGTTGCCTTGAGTCGATGGGCGTTGTTCCGGAGGAATTGAAACGTCGACTTGAGAATGTCGGATGTAGCGGTTGTGATGGGCGGTTGGTCAACGGCTTGTGAAGACAACGTTGGGGACGTGTTGATCAATACGGATAGTACAGTAAGAACTGGAATTTGACCTGATGTTTGTGATGAGAAGAGTGAGGGAGTCTTCCAGGCGAGAGACTGCGGGCTGTCGAAGCATGTTATGAAAATATCGTCGACACCTCCTATGCAGAGTCGCTCGCTCCTACCCGTTCACCAGATTCCGTTCACCTGTTAGAATCCAAGGACTACCACCAACTTGCAAAGCACTGGGGAGAAGGAGCATGTTGGGCGAGCTTCAGATTCTTCCCACCCGAATCCATTGAAAGTGAGCAGGTGGGATGCTCCAGGAGGTTGTCGGGACATTCGTCTGTTTGTGAAGGGAAGTGACGAGCCGGGCCTCCCTCCTCCCTCCTCCAGTACAAAGGGGCACCTGGCGGTCTTGCTAAGGTACAGCGCCCGGCAAAAAGTATTTGAACACGCCTACCTTATGTACCATCGACCCATGTCTGAGGCATATACGCTTACTACCTTATCTGGCCTCAAATACATAGGAGTGGGTACCTTATGGAGACGTTCGGTACGGTACGTACCAGTAGCTGTCGCCATCGGTGACGTGATAGGTGCACGGACCCATCCCGTCAGTTCCCAAAGGTGCGTGCCCCGCGATGTCTCTCAAGCTTCTCCCGTGCGACTCGATCACTGTTTCCCGTTTTAATATCACGTACCGGAGACAAGAAAAGCATACCTTACCTTATTCAACGCATCAGGCAAACTCCAAAAAAATGACCTCCCTCTTCCCAGGCTTTCTTACCCGCCTCGCGCGGCCGTTCACGTCAACCTCCTCCCTCCACCTCGCCTCGCCCGCCACCTCCGACTTCCCCGCCGGCGCGCAAACCGCCACCATCGCCGCCGGCTGCTTCTGGGGCGTCGAGCACATCTACCGCAAACACTTCGGCAACGGAAAGGGCCTCCTGGACGCCCGCGTAGGCTACACCGGCGGCGCCATCGAGCACCCGTCCTACCGCGCCGTCTGCAACGGCAACACCGGCCACGCCGAGGCCCTCCAGGTCGTCTTCGACCCGGCCACCGTCTCCTACGCCCAGCTGCTCGAGTTCTTCTACCGCATGCACGACCCCACCACCGCCAACCGCCAGGGCCCGGACGTGGGGCCCCAGTACCGGAGCGCCATTTACTGGCACGACGACGAACAGGAGCGCGTGGCGCGCCAAGTCACCCGCAAGGCCAACGAGCAGTGGTACGACGGCAAGATCGCCACCGAGCTGGTTCCCGCCGGCACCTGGTGGGATGCTGAGGACTACCACCAGAAGTATCTGAATAAGAATCCTTCTGGGTACGAGTGTCCTAGCCACTTTATACGGTCATTCAAGCCTCTTGAGTGACCGGAGTTGGAACCACGGGGAGGACGTGATAAGGTGCGGTGGAAAGTGTCCAGATTATGGCAAAGGTGGATATGGTCGATATTGCCCGCTTGAGTCGGGAGTCGCCTGTGGCAGGTCTAACGAGAGGGGGGAATGTCAGGTTGGGTGTCTGGTTTGTTGTCTGGTTTGTTACGAGCCTTTGGAGTTTTCCATATTGATTTACCTTTTTCTTTTCTACTCTCACACATGCGAAAATAAGAGTTCACTCGCGAGAGACAAAAAATCGGCGTTCGGGCTTCGGTTGGCCCTTCACATTCTATTACCATCATAAAGTAGGGGGATCAAATTTGTGGCGGATTGCCGAGGTATCTGATACAAATAAAAATATAATCTACAAGAAAAGCCCCCTTTTCGCTGTTTGTCGGTTGGCCGGAGGGGAGAATTTGTCTCTCTTCAGCTTGCCATGTCCAAACTGCATTATGGCAACCTGTAAAACAACACTGCTAGCAGCAACCTATTGATCCTTTGAAATCATGTTCTCATCGCCTCTCCCCCCCCCCTTCTTTCTCCATCACCTCTCAGTCCATCTACTTCCGGCGGTTACCCTGCATCATGAGAATCTGAACCATGCGGACAAAGATGTTGAGGAAATCCAGCTCGAGCGCGATGCTCTCATTGACGGGGTCCTTCCGCATGACGCCAGCCTGGGCCAAGCGCGCGTGGTACAGCACCTTCTGCACGTCGTACAGGGTGAAGCCGCCAAACACGGCGAGACCACCGTACAGCCAGATGCTCTCGGTGAAAGCCAGAGTCCGGACAGCCGTGGCGGGGATCAGCAGGGGAGCGAAACCCGAAGCCGCGACGATGGCAGCGCCCGCGAGCAGAGGGCCGCCGATGTAGAGGTACTTCTCCTGCTTGGCGGTGGCGCCGACCACCGACAAGCTGCCCATCATGGCGACCGTGTACAGGCCGGCCCGGGCGAGGAGAGCGGTCGGGACGAAGGCCAGGAGGGGGGCGACGAAGGCGGCCTGGGTGGCGTTGAAGGCGGTCCAGAGGGCGTATTTGGGGATATAGCTGTTTCGTGCATGTTAGTACTTGCCCGCATTGAAACGACTTGAGGAGAAACGGGGGGAAAAGAAGGGAAGAAAGGAAGAAGAAGAAGAACAAAAAGCAGAGACAAGAAAAACTCACTTGTCAGGCGAGATCGAACGAGTACCAATCATGGTGGCAAAGCTGAGAGCCAGGCCGCCGAGACCGACAGCCCAGGGGTTCGTCACCATAAGCCGATACACAAACCCGCTCTGCACCATCTGGCGAGCCGTGAGACCGATGATGCCGATGCCGAGGCCGGTGTGAAGGAAGGTGCTGTTGAGATATTCCCGCTCATACGGCGGCATGCCGCCATCCTCCCTCGTCTCGCGGTTGAACACGGCGTTGATGGCCACCAGCGTGCCGCCGAAAATGGCTCCCCCGACCACCAGCTTGCGCAGCCTGCTCCCGCTCGCCTCTTGCGTCTGGGCGTAGGTCTGCTGGTTGAACGAACGGGCGCCGTTGCGGAAGGCGGCGCGCAGGGCAAATGGAGACGTGGTGGCCGCCAATCCGCTCTTCGCGGTGGTCAAGCGGGCGGTGAAGAAGGCTGGGGCGAGCTTCGCGCTCTGCTTCGAGGGGGCCGAGGCTGCCTGGTGGAAGGCTCGGGATGCGGTCGCGCGGAAAGTCGGCGATTTGGTCAGCTCGGGCAGGCGCTGAGCTAGGCGCGCTGGCCCTTGGCGGACTGTGATGTTGAGGGACATGATACCGACGATTTTGACGTGGACGCGATACGATGCCTTGTCGTTGAAGACAAAGGAAATGGTTACGGTTGAAGGGGAAAGGGTTTTTTTTGAGGTTTGAGCGTGCGTTTGAGGAGAAGAGGGCAAAGGAAGTATGACGTTCCGATTTCCGAGGTGAAAAGCTTTGGCCACTTCTGGACACTTAGCTAATAAGGTGAGGGAGGACCCAGCCAGAAATCGGTGGAAGCTTCTTAGCCGGTCACGCAGTCAGAGATGATGATTACATAATGCTTGATGCCAGAACGCGGGCCCGGGACATCCGTTAACTCCGAGGCTGCCCGTTGTCGCCTGTCATGACGAAACGTTTAGTATTATTTGTTTCCGCCTCCATGCGACAAAACAAACTCTGATAGCAGCTCGAGAACAAAGGCATGCACTGCACACGGCAGGACACTACGAAAGTGCGAAGGAAACTACTACGAAAGGCAAATTGGGTAGGGCAGTGTTCCGTGAGCATCTGTAGAAATCGTACAACTCTGCAATTCCGAAGGCGCGTTGGCGTGGGACCCTGGGATCTCTGCGCGAGGAGAATCTCTCGAGCATAGCAAGAGGAAGACTTACAGAGTGTAACTTGATCGCCAAACGTAGCTGTCAGACGAAGTGGTGTCTTGTTCTCGGAGAGAGCTCAGTATCCCACACCTTGACAACTTAAGCTCATTGCAGAACGGGAAATGCCTGGTGTATTAACTTCATGTTCATTCGAGTAACACTATACAGATGCTCAAACCAAGCTACTATCCGTACAGGACATTACTGAGCATGGTAGTGCGTTGGGATAGTCACCGAGCACCCTCGACCAGATCTTTGGCGAGCAGTCAACTCTAATGCGATGAAATACATCCCATGCAGGAAGTAGGTAGGTATTTCTCCGCATGTCCTATCGGTCGACGCTGGTTTACTTGTGCCCGTTCCAGGTAGCTACCGGGAAAATCTGGATGAAGAGACGTTCCTCTATCCTCGTGGTCCCTCTGCTCCCTTTATCGGAGGCAATTATGACCCAGGTTGTGTGTTAATATACTGTTCTCCCACGGTGAAGGAAAGATTCGGCTGGTAAGGATGGCACAGACCAGCGCTAGAAGCCTTCTCGAAAGGTAAACCCCGCCATCTCCCCCCAACCCGGCTTCTGGTACTCCCTAGTAAGGCCCCTAATTATTCCACTTCACACATGACACCTGGGAAGTGGTTTGGAGCCAAATTCTCAGTCTCAGCATGCTACTCGTCGTCTTCGTTTCTTTCCTTTTCATCAAGTGTCATCCCTCGGACGAAATGAAAACGGATCGCAGTGGCAGAGGTGACGCTGCCACTAGCGGGTACAAGAAGTGATACAGGATGATACCGCCCAGGGGCACACCATTACCACGGGCCGCGCCTTTTAGGCATAGGTAAGGGGGGAGATAAAGAAGACAAACCAAAAATATACATCTCGCAGCCACGTAGGATCGGATCGGATTGGTATGGCCGGTGCGGAGCCAGAGGAGCCGACCCCTGTCAGAGATGGACAGGAGTACTCAGGACGTGGATGTTTACTTCACGACGAAGTACGTAAGTAATTAGGACGCTCCTGCTTTATAGTCTGCATCTCACGGTGTAGGTGTGCCTATTTTGGGGAATCTACGGAATGCGTGTAAAACGAGAGTAGGTCTGGGGGCTGATAAGAATGGGGTCATTTTCTTTCCGGAACATAAAAATAAAACCAACATAAAAGGTCGGCAGGCCTGTGTGTCAATGGCTGATGTCTGTGATAATTACCATTTGACTACCTTATAATGTCTGTGAACAGAATAATATGTACTTTGTATGAGCATCTGTACGTGTGACGGATTAGGTTGCAGATGTGGCTTCGTGCCAATGCTTAGGAGGGCAGGTATGAGTCGTCTTTCTGCATCTTCTAGTCGTTTTCCATGCTCGTCTCTTCGCTTAGCGTGCTTCGATCATCCTTCCAGTGAAATTCGATGGCGAACTCCGTATTACAGGGCGGCATGCAGTGGTGGCCCGGCGGATACATATAATCCCATCGATATTCTGTTGCCATGCGCATCCTCAGGCCTGGGTAAACCCCCACCTGGTTTTCCAAAAGTCATTTTTCACGTGTTCCTCGCATGTTCCATCAAAATGATATACATGCGATATGTCCAGGCTCTGACCAGTAATCGTGCCAGGCAAGCATGGAATTAATGGGTATGGTAAGAGCTAGTTTATACAGTGAAATCCGAGTGTGTTGCCCGGATTTGAACAGGAACTCTGGAATGGGGACTGGAAGATATTATATTGTTGGGTGAACGGCGAAGCACTATAAACGATATATTCGTCCTTATTTGGGACTGAGGACACGATGAACTCGTAAAAAAACCAAGCCCGCTGGAGGTAGTCTACTGGTCTCTGGCTGCGCCCTTATCTGGTATTTTCAAGTATTTTCAATTTTCAAAAGCCGTTGATGCTATCATCATCCTTTCATGACCATATTTGCTCGTAGGGTACCTACCTACGTACATAGGTACCTGTATTAAGGTACCTTAGGTTGACGCATCCACACGGCTATAACCTAAGGTAGGTAAGTTCTCCTCGCCATGTGCGTTAGAGGAAGCGGCGTTGTGGTTTTATCTAAGGTAGTGTACACTAAGGACCTGGAAGCTCTGATATTCTCTCCATAAGGTAATGACACTCCAGGTACCTGCTAGTACCTATAGCCGGGACGGTTTAGACAAGATACAGCAAGGTACTTGTCTGCTCCACTGTCTTGCTCTAGCGTTGTTTCCTAATGTTACGTGGTCCGTGCATATCCGTTGCGATGACCACTGCTGGAGCTGAGGTGGGTGGGGTTTCTACCTAGCTGCGGGTACACAGGTCAGCTGGGTGTCTTAGCGTTTGGGATGAAGACAGGTACGAGAAAGGTACCGGTTTTCTTTGCCGAGAAAGTCTGCACCGCGGCAAAAGGAAAAGTAGACACATGTATCATGTGCCACATCATGGAACATCATCACGGCATTGCGGACAGGCCCTCCAAGGTACCTACAGTACTAAGGTACTTGGGAATTAAGGTACTCCTCTTCCGCTTCCCAGGGGATGTTTCACTTCGCTCGACACCCCCACCCGCCCTTCTCTTCAGGTTCTCTGCCTTCTCCCCCCCCCCCCCCTTAAAGAAAGAGAAATTCCCCACGTCCCGAATGTGACCTAAGAATAAGGTACCTAGGTACCGTAGTACTGTAGGTACCTTAGCCAGGCCTGGCCTTCTATGCCAGCTACCTACTTGCAGCAGCGATTTCCTGCACTCATTCTGCATCGCACCGCTGTCCACCCCCCACAAAACGACGTACGAAGCGACAGAGAGTCCAGTAAACTCCTCCAGACTCTGCCACTGACGCCGATTATTACCCTGGACTAGCAGCTGGCAAAGGAATCCCCCCTCTCTTCCTCCGCTGTGCCTCCGATACCCTCTTCTGTCTGCTCTGCTGGTCCACTGTCCACTTCGTCCACCGTCCACCGTCCACCGTCCATCGTCCATCGTCCACCGTTTGCCTTGGATCCTCTCTCAGGACCACCCCCTTTCTCATCATCTACCACGCAATCGCAATCCTGTCCCTGCTCTACGATATTGCTACGCTCAAACTCGGAAACCACCGCGACACCTTTCTACTCGCCTGGAACGGCAGCGCCACCAGCGACCTTGTAAACACCAACTCCAACCTAACATCGACACCATCCTCCCATCCAATCCCGCCCTATTTCTGTTTGCTTGCACCTCACCTGTTAGTCCTAACCCAGGCCGGGTGTCAGTCGGGAGTCCGTGTCTTGCTTCTTTCTGACCGGGGTTTGGCTCCAGATCATCTCCATGCCGGCATCGCTCGCGAAGTGCCGCGAAGACGAACAGGTTCTCAGGACCATCACCTCCAAATCCGGCTCCGATATCATAAGACGACTTCTTTAATCGCCCCCCCTCGTTGCAGGCTTTCCGTCGTCCTGAAACCGCGCCTCAACCGAACCTCGATTATACGTTCCAACTCGTCACGCCGTTTGCTCCAAGACCATCCATCGTCGCATCCAAGCCCATCAAAAAAAGGATAGAGGAGTAAAAAAAGCCGGGAGCTTGACAAAGGGCATTGGAAGAACCATCAAACTTCCCAAATACGCCTCCCCTTTTGGAATCCTGAGTCGTTTTGTCCCTGCCTTTTGTCCTGCCCCGTGGTCTCTCCCGGTCCCGTGGAGGGGAGCGAGCATGACTAATTCTTGCCGCCCCTTTGCTCCTGCTACTTTTCCCGGCCGTTGGGCGTTCTGAGAGGCAACTCTGAACCTGGCACGGGTCCGTCCAAGACTCCCTTTCTTCAAAATAGGACAAGTCCTGTCTCCTACCTGCTATCACCTACACCGTCACAAGTACAGTATCGCGCAGGCCAGCCACCTTATCGCAGTACCCAACGAGCCTTGAGCCCGGCCCAAGCTAGGGTCAGGACTTTCTGCCAATCCCCCACTCGAAAAGTGAGACCGAGCCCGTGGCGCTCTCGAAACCATGAGACGTAGTCGTTCTCCCTCGTCTCCTTCCCCCTATCGGGCCCTAGCCCACCAACAGAATGGCGGCAACGCGGGCCCCGGCCGGATCTCGGACTCCATCTCCGTTATACGTTCCTTCAATGTCGAGACAAACCCGACTCGTCCTGTCCGCCCCTCCCCGCTGACCGCCTCCACCATCCGGGACATGCCGCTTGATCTCGTCGACCGCATCCGCTCCTTCCCCCTCTTCATGTCTGCCTCGGAGGACTTCCTCGCCGCCATTGGAAAACACCTACGGCCTCAGGTCCATGCGGCCCAAGACATGGTCCTCCACGAGGGCGATGACGCGAAAGCCATGTACTGGGTGGTACGTGGCGTCGTGGCAGTCACCTCGAGAGATGGCGAGGCCGTCTACGCCGAGCTCAAGGCCGGCTCCTTCTTCGGCGAAATCGGCGTTCTGATGGACGTGCCGCGCACGGCCTCCATCGTCGCCCGGACGAAGTGTCTTCTTGTGCAGCTGAAAAAGGAGGACCTCCAGGCCGAGCTGCCCAACTTCCCCGACATGGAGAAAGCCATCCGCCAAGAGGCGCAGGAGAGGCTCAACATCCTCAAGAAGAAACGGCAAGAATCGAAAAGCGGCGCGCGAGAACCGGCACCCGGTGAGGTGGCTACCGGTGAGGTCGGCATCATCAAGGAGGGGAGCAGCACGGTGGTCAACTCGAAGAAGCGGAAGTCGCCTAGTCCCGGTGCCATCGAAGACCCTGCCGCCGGCAGCGCTCTCGGGAGCGGGTTCGTGAACGTGCGGAAAACGCTGAGAGAGCTCCCGCTCTTCTCGAACCTCCCTCCCGATATTCTCCATTTTCTGGGGTTGAGCGCGCAACCGAAGACGTACTCCCCCTTTACCGACATCGTCCAGCAGGGTGCGCCTGGGAACGACATCTTTTTTATCGTGCGAGGAGAGGCGGAGGTAATTCGCCAGACGCCGGCTTCCGAGGACGAGGCAACAGCAGCAACAGCAGCAACAGCAGCAACAGCCAAACAACTGTCGTCGCGTGCGTCGTACGTACGCCCGCGCCTCAAGGCCGGTCAATACTTCGGGGAGGTCGCAAGTCTCGGATTATCGGAAGGTCGGACAGCTACTGTGCGGTCCATCACGACGGTGGAGTGTCTGATGATCGGCGGCGATGCGCTCGAGGAGCTGTGGAGGAGATGCCCCCCGGATATCAAGTCACAAGTCGAGGAGACAGCTCGCACACGCTATCGTTTGTCGGACCAGGACGAGGACGAGGACGAGGACGTCGACATGAACGACCTGGATGCGACTGACCCTAGGAGAAAAAAATCCGACCCTGCAACACCGACGACGCCGAGGGCTCTACCTCACATGACGTTTACTACGCCCTCGAAGCCGGCGTCCCCGTCGAAGGACGCGGGAGCGGACACGATGGGTCCGAGAGATCCCGACCCCTTTCTTAGTGTCGACATGGAGAATATACGTAACCGTCGTCGCAACTCTCTTGCACCGCCGATGCCTATGCCTCTGCCTATGCCTCTGCCTATGCCTCTGCCTATGCCGCAGCCCGAGACCATCTCTTCCCCGGCGGCGAACAACAGGAGGTATCCGCAGCTCGACACGATGGCTGTTGGGGGGTTTGCCGTGCCGCAATCACCGCTGGACATGGAAGAGATTCCGTCCAAGAGGGCAAGGACCCTTCCTCACCGCGCCCATTCCTTGCAGCAGTTGTCGGCCCTCCCGGACCAGGTGTTGGTTAGGGTCTTCCAGCTCCTAGGCGTGGCCCAGCTCATGCAATTGCGGCTCGTGTCGGCACATTGGCGCAAGCTGCTCGAGAAAGACCGTGGCGTCGGCGTCCATGTCGACCTCAGCCAGCACAACCGGCGGGTCACGGACGAAGCGATCAAGACAGCCATCGCGCCGTTCCTCGGAGACCGACCGGAGACGATCGACATCAGCAACTGCTTTCACCTCACGGACGAGGGGTTCAAGGCTCTGTGGGAGATGTGCGGGCGCAACGTGAAGCGCTGGCGGATGCGGTCGGTCTGGGACGTATCGGCGAACCAGATCCTCGACATGAGCGAGAAGGCCAAGGGTCTCGAAGAGGTGGACTGGAGCAACTGCCGCAAGGTCGGCGATAACCTCCTCGCCCGCGTGGTCGGATGGGTGGTACCCGAACCGCCTCCACCGCCGCCACCGAACAACAAGCAGGTGGTCATCTCCAGCTCGGCGGCTGCCAAAGGGCGGTCGTCGTCGTCGTCGTCTCAGAAACAAGCGGCGGCCGCGTCTGCCCGACAGGCGGCGAACATGCCCAAGCCGGGAACTGTCATAGGCTGCCCGAAGCTGAAGCGGCTCAACCTGTCTTACTGCAAACATATCACGGACCGGTCGATGGCGCACCTCGCGGCCCATGCGTCCCAGCGCATCGAATCGCTCACGCTGACGCGGTGCACGTCGATCACCGACGCCGGATTCCAGTCGTGGGCGCCCTTTCGGTTCACGGACCTGACGCACCTCTGCCTCGCCGACTGCACGTACCTTTCCGACAACGCCATCGTGGCGCTGGTCAGCGCGGCCAAGAACCTCACGCACCTCGACCTCTCGTTCTGCTGCGCGCTCTCGGACACGGCCACGGAAGTGGTGGCGCTCAGCCTCCCGCTGCTGCGGGAGCTCCGACTCGCGTTTTGCGGCAGCGCCGTCTCGGACGCCAGTCTCCAGTCGGTGGCGCTGCACCTCAATGAGCTCGAGGGGATATCGGTGCGGGGCTGCGTGCGCGTGACGGGCAGCGGCGTGGAGAACCTGCTGGAAGGGTGCGGGAAGCTGGCGTGGGCGGATGTGAGCCAGTGCCGGAATCTGGAAGGGTGGATTCGCGGTGGCGGGATTGCGCGGTGGGGGTTTGACGAACGAGGAAGCGACGGGATCTCGTTGCTGCCGCAGAAACTACCCACCGTCGAAGGGATGGGCATGGGCATGGGCATGGGCATGGGCATGGGGAAGCCGCCGATGCCGATGGTGAGGCCGGCTAGGTCGGCCTTTGCGCATATGGGCTTGCCGGGCCGGACGTTGAGTTTCCGACGAAGGGCTCGGAAGCCGGTGCGCTTTATTGTGGAGAAGGGACCTCGGGGGCTGAGGTAGAGTGGTTGAGGTCTTTTGGTCTCTTTTCCCTTTCCCTTTCCTTTTCCTTTGCCCTCGGGGCGAGTTTTTGGATGTTGACTGTCTTGGAGCGACGAAGAATAAGGGAGATCCTGTCTATGATGCTCCTTATTGTTTTTAAGCAGGCCTGATGTTTCTGACTCGAAAAGCATTGCATGTTTGGGGGCATATGGGGGGTCCATCATAGGTTTTACCATATTTGATATCTGGATTGGATTGGACTTGGTGTTATTTGCGAAAGTCATTTCTCCAATAGGGATCTTTACTTGGGACCGGGCCTGGAAGAAAAAGGTTCAGAGATGCAAATATGATGGGCCTTGGACGAGGAGAGACTGAGGTGATATGAATGTTGATGATAGATTGGGTATTGTACGGGAGTGATTCATCTGTGGTCGGTTGATACCCCCTATGATTTGGCTATTGCCTTTTCTAGGATCAATACTAAGCATTTGATTTACTTTACTGGCTCCGGCTCTGCTTCTGCCTGCGTGTCATCTAGGAATCGTCTGGGTGAAGGATGGAAAGATTAAGACTTGCGACAGACCGAGCCGAGTCTGTATATAACGAACCACTTATAGACAAGATGTTGATGCGACTGGAAGGATTTATGAGAGCAAGAGTTATAGAGAGAGCTTAAAGATAGCTTAACAGCAGTGGCAAGAAAGAAACCGCCATGGAAAACTCAAAAGAGACCGTCCCCTAATTCGCAATCATTACCGAACCAACGATTCCTTGAAGGCGAGTTGAGATGTGGTTGCGATGTCGGTGTTATGTCACATGATACGCCACGTGAAGATACCTTGGTATTGAATAGGACGGGCATATCTTATCATAGGTGCTTTATCTTATCGTGACAATCGCCAGTTCCTCTACTTCACTTCAGTATCTTCAGTCCGTTTCGATCCTCAACATCAACAACAGCAACGAAAGCGAAAGCCAAAGCCAAAGCGAAAGCCAAAGCGATTTGTCACAAAGTGTACCCTTTTGCCCGCCAGTGGACGGATCTTCACAAAACATGGACCCGGGACGCCGTGCCATGCTTTCGGGCCGCCAAGAACGTCCGTCTCGAGATGTCACCTCGCCACGGAGAGACGACGGCAATCGCGTCTCCAAGCGTTCGGATCAGTTTTCCTCGGGTCGGCGTCGAAAGAACAACGCGAGGGATGCGAATACCACCTCACTAGGCAGTAACCGCACGTACATGACGCAAGATGAACAGGCGCTTCAGTTCGTGGCCGAGGAGGACAAGTTCGTCTTGAAGCAGTCCAAGAAGAAAGCCGACATCCGCGTTCGCGAGGGTCGAGCCAAGCCCATCGATTTGCTGGCCTTCAACCTACGCTTCGTCGACCCGGACCGAGACGTTCTCGACGACGACGAAACCGACGCGCGAATCTCCGTCCCCTCCCCCGAGGCCGTGTTGCAGACGCTCGACGAGGCGCAGCTGCGGGAGCTCGAGTCCGACATCACCTCGTACCACACCCTCGAGACCAACGCCCGGAACCGAGAATACTGGCAAGCGCTGCAATCCCTCTGCGCCGACCGGCGGCAGAAGCTGAAACCGCAGGGGACCGACGACCGCGTCGTCAGCACCGTCGCCGCCGACATCGACAAGATCCTCAGCCCCAAGACGTACGAGCAGCTCGAGGCCCTCGAGAGGCAGGTCAAGGCCAAGCTCCGGTCCGACGAGGACATTGATACGGATTACTGGGAACAGCTCCTGCGCAGCTTGTTGGGCTGGAAGGCCAAGGCCAAGGTCAAGAAGGTGTACGAGGAGATCAAAGAGAGCCGGGCCGCGCTGTTGAAGATGCAGGGAATCGACGTTAGGCCGGAAGAGATCGACGGAGCCACAGGCGGCACGGCCAACCGACGACTGTCGAGTTCTTTCACATCTACTCCTGCATCGACGGCAGCCCACCACACAAAGCCGCCGCCGACTGCCGTGTCTCTCCTCCAACAACACGGACAAAGCCAAAGTAGTAGTAGTGCGAGCGCGAGCGCGAGCGCGAGTGCGCCCCCTGGAACGGCGCGCTTTGCACCCTCTGGGGACGACGACTTCTCGGGCGCGACCAAGGCCCTGTACGAGCGCGAGGCGGCCCGCGGCACGGGCGAGAACGAGGAGGTCTTCGCCGAGGAAGAAGCCGTCCCCGCGGCGTCGCGACCAGCCTGGGCGGGCAAGTACAGGCCGCGGAAGCCCCGCTACTTCAACCGCGTGCAGATGGGGTACGAGTGGAACAAGTACAACCAGACGCACTACGACCACGACAACCCGCCGCCCAAGGTGGTGCAGGGCTACCGCTTCAACATCTTCTACCCGGAGCTCATCGACAAGACCAAGGCGCCCACCTACAAGATCATCCGGGAGGGGGGGCGCCGGCGCGGGGAGAGCTCGGCGCCTGCGGGGGAGAACGATACGTGTCTCATCCGCTTCATCGCGGGGCCGCCGTACGAGGATATTGCTTTCCGGATTGTTGATCGTGAGTGGGATTACAGCGCGAAGAAGGATCGGGGGTTCAGGAGTTCCTTTGACAAGGTACGTGGTGCGCTAGAGTTGGGTTCACTGTTCGCTCCGCGGATGTACTCGACTTTCCTTGCATCATGCACTTGGACGCCATGTCTTGCGACCTTTTCATGATCATACGTGCGCACATGCAGATAGACGCACATACACACTCAGCACACACACTCAGCACACACACTCAGCACACACACACACTCTCCTCTCCTCTCCTCTCTGGCCAGGCCTCAGACAGCCGCCCTACCGCGCGCCTGGTCGCTACCCCCCTACCCTTCTCTTTCATCTCCCCTGTTGTACACCATGTACTCTATCCCTTGCCCGCGTCAGGCCTATGATTACATGTGTGCAAAGCTAATATTGCCCAACTGCAGGGAATCTTGCAGCTTCATTTCCAGTTCAAAAAGGTAGGTGATCAAAAATCCCAACCCCTCTGCTGCACCTCCTCCTCTTCGTCCTCTCAGCCTGGTTCTCCCAACTGTCTAGGTTGTATGTCAAAGGTTATCCACTAAACTGACATGTCATATCAGATCTACTACCGAAAGTAATGGTCGCCGGCCGTGGAGCCCGAGCTCTAAGCACCCTGGTCAGCTCTGTACGAAAGACCCCGGTTCATATCCTGGTCTATATGCCGGCATGCCGGCCTGTGCATCCCGGTCTCACATGTTGCCTCGACTGCCAAGACGTGATGATGTTCAAGAGCCGGGCTGGCGGTGTCCCTTCTTTCATCCCCTCCCCCTCCGTTCTGCATCTTTTCCTAGTCAGGAGGCCGGGGGGAAGAATGGGAGGGGATTAAACGGTGACAGTCAGTACGGATGCGGATATGCAACTCGCGAACAAACGCTCCGTCGATCCTGGGGTGCACGTTTCTTCTTGGCGGACAACATGCCCTCTTTTTCCGCTGTTTATTGGGCGGGTAACGTCGTCGCTCATGCTGTGCTACCACAAGTCCTGGGTCGGAGGCTAGCTGCCTTGCCTCCCCGGTCATCAACCTTTTTTTTTTTTTCCCTCTCGTTTTTGTGCCCCCTCTCTCATCCAAGGATCCAGACCAAGCGTCCGGGGGGGAAGGGGGCGACCAAGTTGTCCTTGGAACAAAACAAAAAGAAAGAGACCGGGTCTTGGAGAGACCGCCTGTGGCTCGATCCAGTCGAGGGCCCATTCATTCTAACTTGGTCATATCATTTACAAGTTCAAGTATATTACGTACATTACATGTTGGCAAGCTTACCTGGCCGTCCTCTCACCGACATTAGCTGGGGGTTGTTGACTCATAGATGGATTCTAGATGACCGACCACAGGCACGCGAGAGCCATGCAGATGCAGGACTGTGGCGTGCAGCAGGCTGAGCCGTCTCTTCCCCCGTGCCCGTGCCCGTTCCCGTGTCCGTGTCCATCACTTCGGCCGAAGTCTCATCACCGCTAAAAAGAAATAGAAAAAAAATAAAAAAAAATCCCAAGGAAAGAAAAGTTTAAGGGATGAAGATTGCTGCTCTAACCTCTAGGCTGTCGACCATACCTGGGTTATCAAAGTACTGACCAAACCCCGAACCATCTCCTGTCACAGTTGCTTCAGAGATCTGTTACGTCTCTTCACCATCTTTAACCCACCCCCCACTCCCCCTGATAATGGTGGCTTGTCACCTCATGCTAAAACCTCGCCCAGCTCGTCTCAGCAGTAGTCGTCCGATGCCTACCTGGCAGATCTTCCCGCCGCCCTGTCTCGGCATCACCTCACCGCCCCCTACCCTTCCCTTCTCAGAGTAGGGCTGCGCCTGTTTACGGAACAGCTTTGGCGGAAGATCATTGGCTTGTGGTTGGCGAAAGCATCAGACATGCAAGCAGCCGATGAAAGCCTTTCTTTTCCTTCTTCTTTTTTTCCCCCGGACGCGGAGCAGACGCATCTGTCCTTGTCCTCTCTCTCAAGTGCTTTGTATCAAGGTCATGGCAGGCAGGCAGGGGCATGACAGATTATTTTCCCCCCGACCGCTCCGATGACAAGACCTTTGTTGTCCCTCGATGACAAAGGCATCTGACCGTGGTGGCTCACCATGTAGCTCACCAGGTAGCAGCAGGCGTGTGCAACGTACATCTACGGTCTTCAACTGAGAAAAGGGGACGTAATACGCGGCAAGAAGAGAAACAAGAGGAACACCCGGGCCTAGAATGCCTAGAACCCGTACTCCCCAACCTACCTACTTTATCGACCCCCCTTTCTCTGTATGATCGGTGAAGGCCCATGTGCCCATGTACTCTGTAGGCCATAGAAGAAAGGAGGGTTTCCTCTTTGGATGACTATTACCATATTCTTGCTAGTCTCTTGGCTGTCCTCTCCCTACGGAAGTACATGTAGACACTCTCTATGATCTACTATGATCTGCTATGATTGACGGGCGTCGCAGGTGACAGGGAAGGAAGACATGGTGTATTATTCGTCCAAAGGGAGAAGAGACCAGGGCACGGAGGTGGTGGTAGACGGGGAGGAGGGGATGAGGATGGGGATGGGGATGGGGATGGGGGTGCTATTTACCACCAACCATGCGCCGGCGGCGAGTGATGCGTGCAAGCGTACGGGTGTGCCCCGGAAGGTGTGGGAGAAGGTGAGAAGGTGAGAAGGTGAGAAGGTGAGAAGGTGAGAAGGTGAGAAGGTGAGAAGGTGAGAAGGTGAGAGAACATGGTTGTCATTGTTTTCTTGACTTCTATCCCTCCCTCTCTCTCTCTGTATGTCCTTTCGTCCCCGCTAAGCGGTTATGGTATCTACAGACTACGGGAGTACATCTCTCACTCACGCGGCAGATGGAAGCTCCGGGTGAAGTGATCCCGCCTGTTATGGTTACATGGGCATGGAGATGGGGACAGGGGGGAGCTTGGTCACCCTTGGGGAAATCTCCCTTCTTCTCAGGTCTAGATGCGATGTGCCTTGTCCAACATTACAGCACTCCCCACAGTGCCCATACCCCCTGCTCGCTCTGGCTCATTTATTCTTTGGGGCAGGCTACTAGAAGCGTGACTGAGAGAGGGTGATGGGAGAGAGAAGGAGAGGGAGAGTCAAAGAGCTTGTAAGAGAGATTGAAGGCCATGACTGCCTCTCTCTCTCCCCCTCCCAGAGCCATGTTGAGGTTTGCTCAGTCCTCTCAACTCTTACCCCAGGCAAGTACTCCACTGAGTCCACTCGACATGGCATGCCGTATCGTACCATAACATCAAATAACATAGCATGTAGCCTTGGAAAGCCTTGAGATGATATGTCGGTGAGAAGACATACGAGAGGGAGGGAAACATACACACTCCCACCTCGCATACAACGTACGCATTTGATATGAGAAACAGATGCACGCATGCAAGCACACATACATTTACAGACGCCCGCATACAATAATACCTTACAGATAGGCTGACTTGACTTACACGTCGTGACGCAGACAACCATCCAGGGCCAAGCAACATGAATCGGCAAGATACTATACCCATACCATACCATACCATACCATATCATACCCATGCCCAAGACCATGCCTGCCATGCCTATGCCCATGCTCTTTGCTCATGCTCATGCCCAGACCGGGATCCGGGGCACACATGGTTTCGCGGGGATTTTATACCATCCTATCGCCGCGGCCCCTTGTCTGTTGCCGTGCCCACACACCCCTGGTCCTCTCTCCATGGCCCAGCCAACCTTTACCCTTTACCCCCTACCCCCAACTTACTGTACACCCTGGACAAGAGCCGACCCCTTGTGAACGTTTCCTCTCCTACACTCTCTCTGTCTCTCGATCTCTCATTCACACTCTCTCATACTGTATCCGTACTCCATATACCTTCACCCTACCCCCTGGTCATCCCCTCCCCCAACAAGGAGCTGTATCTTTGTAGCCCAGTACATTTCCTCCTCCTTATGGATACACCATCCTCTTCTTGGATTCGCCCCCAAAGTCCGGCCCAGGAGTCACCTCCAGGTGTTTTATCAACACGTCCTATCCCTTGTGCAAGTTCTCCTTTCCAGTCCATATTTTTGCTCTACAGTCTCTCGTCCATTCAACGACACATCAACGGCATCGACGACACCTTTAGACTGAACCTGTTGCTATTAGCAAGCGGATTTGATCTCTGGCGGAAAACCATCAAGCAGCCTCTATGATCTGTCTGGCTTACTGCTTCTCCTACCTTCTCTCTGATAGCAAACCCATCTATGACCCACGGATCAACGGCAAACCCCCCCACTGCTTCCCTCGTCATTGTCATTATCACTGTTCTCTCGTAACCCCAGTGCCCGATAACATCTATTCTTCTTCTTCTTCTTCTTCTTATTATTATTCCTGCTCTTGCTCTTTATTCTTTTTAGCCATCTTCTTGACACCTCCGCCGCTATCCTTGTCTAAGCTATCCGCCCGAGTCTAGATTACCTGAAACGGCGTCTCCCGTCTACATCGCCCGGCGCCAGCCCTGCACCGAGATCTACGGCAGTCAATCTGGACGAGCCTTTTATTTTAGCACCGACCTTTTTCGAACACACCACACCATCTTGGCTGTCATGAATCCGCACATGCCGGATGCCTTGCCCGGCATGGTCCAGTACGGCGACCTGAATCTGTCTCCCGGCACCACGCAAGCAATGTCCCCGACGGGCGGTGTTGGTGTCAAACGGGAACACGGGAGGGAGTTCTTCACGTCCCCATCCAGCCTTCAACAATATCAGCATCTTCCGGACGAATTTGCCGAACAGCAGAGTCAGGGCCAGGAGCACAGCCAAGCAGCCTCCATGACCGCCGTCGCACCAACACAGCCTTACCCGCCATCCTGCCATAGCATGTGGCCTCCTTCCCCCCCTCCCGGCTCTGCTGAGGAATATGAGCACTACTGCCTCCGAGCGTCTTCTGGCTGCGGCTATAATCCATCCCCTCTCGAACCACGCGGTTGGGTACCGCCTACGCAGGTCGTCTGGAGTTCCCCTCTTGACCGGAGCCCCCTCCAACACCACATGCAGCAACCGCATCCAGACAACTGCCTTCGCGTCTGCACCTCCTCCCACGGATTCAACGAGATGGAGATGGGGGAACCTCGATACCCACATGCAGACTTTTATCCAGGCTTTCCGGAACAACCGTCCCCCGTAGCGGTAGACGAGTTGCTCTCTTCCACCACAACGTCCCCCAAGGAGCTCAACTCGCCAGCCATGCCGTCTGGAGGGGAGCCCGTTAAACGCCACAATACCAGGAGGCGTGGCTTGGGAGGCAGTCTGGCGAGCCCGGAACTTGAACCTGCCCACTCCCCGAGCGGTTCAACGTCCAGTCCGCGAGGACATGCGCAGAAGAACGACGAGCCTTATGCCCAACTCATCTACCGCGCCTTCATGAGCGTCCCGGATCACTCCATGACACTACAGGAGCTTTACGAATGGTTCGAGCGCAATACGACCAAGGCCAAGGGAGGCGGGAAGGGCTGGCAGAACAGCATTCGGCATAACCTCAGCATGAACAAGGTCGGTGATGATGCTAGCATGATGGATCATGGCCCCCTGTTCTGAGTGTATCTCCCTTGTGAATACGTCTTGCAGACACGATCCGCTGACTCTCCTGTACAGGCGTTTGTGAAGAGGGAGAGGCCAACGTCGACGAACATCGACTCGACGGTGGAGAACCCTCCAACTGCCACCAGCGAGAAGCGCATATCCGAATGGGTACTGACAGACTGGGCCGTCCGGGAAGGAGTGTACAGCACCACGAGATACCGCCCCAAGCACCACAACCACAGCACCGAGCTTGGACACACCCGGCGCGGACGCACCAGCCCTCCGCGTTCTCACCACGTCACCTATCATCCCCATCCCCAGCACCCACACCAGCTCATTCCCGGCCGTGCCATGTCGGGTCGCAAGGGAGGATGCGCCACCAGCAAATCCAGGCAGCCCCGGCTCAGCCCCGGCAGCCCATCGACCGGCGAGAGTACCAGCAACAACACCCTCACGGTGACGACGGGCCCACAGATGCCCACAATCCCCCTCGAATCGATGGGCATGGAACCAATGGAGATGGACCCCGGTCTGTCGTCGATGCACCAGATCCACTACTACGACAGACCACCGGCACTGTACGAGCAAGGATACCCTCATCACCACCAACACCATGACCAACCTCACCCCCCCACTCCCGGCGTCGTGCCGGACAACCGCCTCCCGACACCGGTGACGCCCGTGACGCCAGAGGCGCCTCCGACAGAAATGGACATGGCCCTCGCGCTATCGGATGCTCATGCGGGCATGATGGCCGGTAGTGCCGCCGCGCAGCTTCCCCATCACCATGAGCAGCAGCAGCAGCATCCCCAAGCGATTTCACATCATCCTATGTACGATTTTGCCCCGTTCAGCTTGACGGACGTTGTGGGCCTTTATCCCGCGGGCCAACTGTTTGAGCACGACGGGAATATGCTATATCCCTGGCATGATGGGAATCACAACGGCAATCCAGGCGATAACGGTGGAACTCCTATGTGAAGGAAACCCGTATTTCTCATCTCACCAGGATATCTACTTGTCTTAGCCTGATATCGACTTTTTTTTTTCATTCTTCTCATCATTTGTTTTTAATTTCGACGCATCACTTCATTTCTATTCTTTACGAGGGTTCCCGGCGAATTTGGTCTTGGCGTTCTTTTACAGGATGGGTGGTCTTCTACGAGGATAATCGAGGAATAATCTCTTGCCTTGAATTTAAGGGGAGGATATCCCCTTTTTTCATTTTTTTTTTTCATCGCTTTCCCCTCTTTATTTGGATCTGCTCGCTCCGGGGTGGATGTATCACAGTTGAGGGTTGTGGCGATGAAAGAGGACACTACACTAGATATGCCCGCCGCTCGCCGCCCGCTGCCTGTTGCGCGTTGCACATTGGCGCTGGGTCAGCCCATTTTCCCCCATCTGGATGCGCTAGTGGGAGGGGAAAACGGAAGAGGGGAGACAGTGATGGAGAGAAAATAGGTGTAGAGAGAGTTGGGGGCCGGAAATTGGAGTCGGTCGACCAAAAAGAGCACTGCCGGGGGCAAGTGGGGGACAGTTTAGACAGTGGACTGACTTGACTTGGACTTTGGGGTGGAGAGTTGACACCTTGACACCTTGGCCATGTTGAAGCGCCTGGCCAGTGAGGAGGGCGAAGGAGACATTTGGGGGGGGGGGGAATGTGGGAATGGACGAAATAGACAAAGGGGAGGGGGAAAATAAAAATAAAAAGACGGGGTTTACTACCACACCCCCCCCTTTCTGGGGTTCTTGTTCGGCGACCTCGGCCATCGCTGGCCAAGATGCAATGCAATAGATACGTACGTGACGGTACTTCGTCCATGGCAATGTGAATGGCAGCCGTCTCGGCCGATCCGGCAGTGGGATCGAGGACCAAAGTCCGGACGGGCAAGGAAAAGACAGGAAAAGAAAGGCAGAAAGGAGGGACGGGGTGTTATCCGAGAGATCGAGTTGCATTTTGCATCTCTTGGCTATTTACTCGAGGTGGCCTAGCATGTGTGGGATGACCTGGGGGGTTGCATCGGGCGTAGTTTATTAAGGGGGGGGGGGTGGTTACGGTATTTTCCTCATTATCATTTTATTCTCCTCGCCGGCGCTTGCAGGAGCATGCGGATCTGCAATTCCATCATCATCACCCACCTTGGGTAGGTCGACATCCGCGTTGGCGGCTAATGCCGACGTAGGTAGAGGTTAGGAAGACGAGGGAAAAGAATACTGCAAGGGCAACCTTGGAACGAAGGACACATGAGGAACATATTTACTCCATTCTTGATTTTGCCTAACGATGTTGAGTTTCATGATTTGATGGCTTTTTTTTTTTTTTTTT